GGCTGGAATGACTCCTGTTTCTGCTTCTTATTCTCGTCAAGAAATGGACCTTAATTGTTCTTTGTATTCAACGATGCCATTTCCATATCGGAATGACCTATCGCCATTCGCCTTTGGCGATGACAACGTTTATTGAAATAAGTGTATATGACACAAGAATTGAATAGTTGGTTATTTAATTTTAGTTTCATCAAATATAAAATGGATTGAGAAAAAATCCTCATTTATTCATCCCTCTATCGACCCATCCATAAGGCATGCATATCGACCCATTCATATCGACCCATCCATCTATCCATCCCTCCATCCATATCGATCGATCGATCGATTGATCGATCTATCCCTCCATCCATCCGTCCATCCGTGCATCGTTTGTTCCCATTTTTCTCTCGATGTTTTATTTACTTTCTAGAGTTGATTAACAAAAAAAGTCGCAGCTGACTCAGAAGCAATTGTTCTATGTTCTATTATTCAATGGCTTAAGTTAAGAAAAACAAAATATATTGGATTGAAGATTGAATTTATTCAACTTTTATCTCTAAAGTCATTGTTACCTTCTCACCTGGAAAGATCATGATCAACTTGACAGATTCACTCCAAAAATACTCAAATTGCATCTAAAATTGAATCTACTTACGTTAGTATTTTGATTTTCTTGTTTCGTAAACGGTTTCTGATCGATCCTAAATGAGTATTTCTTGCGGAGACAAAGAAAAAAAAATTGGAAAACTGGTTTTTAGTATAAACACTAGCAACTTGTCATATTATTGTTATGGAACGACCGCTCTCGGTATGAGCTTCTTCGGGATCTTTATTCTACTCTCTGTATTGAGCTAATTACACGAGTATTAATAATAATTCTATGACAGGTGTCATTCTATAATCAATGTGATAATATCGTTGAATCATGATTGGCTAAGAGAATAAGTAAATTCCTGAGTGTGATATCTTAATAACGAGTAGTACGAGTGGAAAGTCCCTGTAAGACGGATATATACAGAAGAATCTTCATAATCTTTTTAATTCACTCATAATGTCACTCAGTTTAAACATGCTCTTCCTGTATGGGGGCGTGCAAGTCACTCAAAATATTTCGTTAATATTGACAAAGTACAAAAGAGGGCTGTCAAATTTGGTTATCTTAAATATGTAACACCAATTAATGAGATCATAGCAAGTTTAGATAGTGTAATATGGAATAATATCATTAAACTCATCGTTAATGATGAGCTTGGCGTTAGGTGCATATTCGGTGGGATGGGCGGAGCCAGGCACAAATTAGCGGTAACCATGGTCACCCTGTCACCACCCACCGAACACCTGTCACATTGAC